ATCATGAAATTGATTTAAAACAAGATCCGTTTATAAGTTCAAATTTAACTTAGGTGTATTAAAATCTGATTTTCACTTATCTAAACTTATCTTAATTTAACTGAAATTATCTGAATTTAACTGAACTTACCTGAACTTATCTGAACTTATTAGACCTTATTAAAAAAAACTTATTTAGTTGTAATAAAAACTTAGGTCACCCTTATCAGATGTTATTTTTCCTAAATTGAACTTATTGATCTAAATTATACTAAACTTATTCGAACTTATTACACATAAAATAAGTGAAAATAAGGTGAACAGAACATACCCTTATGTTTTGACCTGATCTAACTTACATATGCATGTATGAATGTTAATTATCATACAATATTCATTCAAAAATTTATGTAGTCAAAAAATAGTTTTTAATTTGGACGTGTCCCTAAAATTTTATTCAGGGTTTAGGAAAAAAAAAAAAAACAAACTTCGTACAAAACTCGAGTGACTCAAGCATTTTGCGCTAAAATTTTCTGATCTCTTACATCCTCTATATCATAACAATTGACTTATATAGTCAAACTTGACACATATACCAATATACGAGTTTGAGTATTAAATTAACTTGGCTATAAAACATTAATAAAAATTATTTTAAAAGTTAATATTATTAAACGTCACATCAATATCTTTTAAAGGCATTTTTACATGGTAATAATCATTTTAATGCATTACTCAAATATAATCAATGTTAATATATGAATAAAAAAAGGTAAAAGTGTGCAATGTTAATAATTTTGAAACAAAGGGAATATTAATTATTGCACTCAACAATTAAAGAAAATTCAACTCTATCTATTAGGGTAAACAAATATTGAATAATGTAATATTGACAACATTATAGCCTGAGTTAGACATGAATTAAGGCTTAGTTCTTGTAAAAAAAAAAAAAATAGTTGTTCCATAATACAATGTAAATCGTTGCCTCCATCCGTTTCTATTAAAAAATAAAAATAAATCATGTAAAATTACATACATCAAATAATTCCAAAGTTTATTCTAACATCTACAACTTGATCTAGTTGGTCTTTGGTACTGCTTACATTTTATGTGCATCACAGCATGAGTGTATATTATGTTCAAATATTCAATAGTCTAAAAGGAAACATTATTGATGCTCTTCTCAATAATTCAAATACTTCCTTTTATATACGGAAATAATGGAGAATGAATCGTGAATGAATTAACTTTAAAGGAGTGGTTCAAAGTGATGGAAATCTGGAATAAGTATATTATCCTTTTCTAATGAGAAAAACTCTTATGGTATACTTTCTCATCTTATATAAGACCCTTGCACTTCTTTACCCTCCATAGATCAATCGGCTTAACCTCGATTGAGAAAATCTATAATTTGATCACTAATATTAGTGTTCGAGAGGGAAAGAAATGGCTCAGCTTCAAAGGGTTGAAGGCCAACCTGTGCTCAAATGTCATGCAGACAAATTCTTTGACATTTGGTCTAGCAAAGCACACCTTATTCCCAAAATAAGCCCTCACAAAGTTGCTAACGTTGAGCTTGTTGAGGGGGAGTGGAATAAGGTTGGTGCCATTTGTAATTGGACTTATCTCATGCGTAAGTATTACATCTTACACGAACTTGGTCTTAGACTATGGTTATGATTCAATCACCTGATTTTTACTTATCTATTATTTTATTTTATATTTTCTGAGTTAATCAATAGTTAAGGGTATTATATGGTAAAGGGAACAAAATTGTTTAGATCAATGCTGAAATTTTTTCTTAATATATGTTAATATCTTGTTATAGTGATTTTAATACAGTTGATATGTCATCTTAAATTTTTACAATATTACTAATAGAGAAAGAATAATTATTTTATAGTAAGAAAATTTAACATTGCAAAAATATTATATTTTACTAATATATAATTAGCTTGGTGATATGATATTCAGTCAAAGTTGTGAATCAGCCAAATTACGGTATTTGACTTGAAGTGAGGGGAATATATCTTAAACCAAAATGAATAATGATAACTAATATAGATTGACGTTAAAGAATAATACTGAATTTTATTTTATTTTATTTTTTTGCAGGAGATCATGGAATAATACTGTAATTAATTTTGAAGGGATCAACTGTATATCTAAATGTATATGATAAGGTGAACCCACATTAATGTACGGAAAGACAAGAGTTGAGGAGTTAGATTTGGAGAACAGATTGTTCATATACAATATTATTGATGGACATGCCAGGCAAAACTACTACAAGACCCTCAAGGCCAAGATGGAAGTATCTCAAAAGGGCGATAACTGCATCATAAAGTATTATGTATACCATGGAATATGACAAGCTGAATAAAAATGCTCCTAAACCAAATTTGCACATCCATTTTAAGCTTAACCTCGCAAAAGAAACCGATGCTCAACTAATTAAAGTAAATAACATTCAACATAATTTCATTAACCAAGACTTCACACCAAAATAGTTTAATCAACTCAATATACTTGACACTTTATATATTTAATTTAATTAAGATTAATTGGAGTAAGCAATAGACGAGGTTGTCCAATCCACCATATCATTTTGGTCCCAAATGACCATTTAAAATAAAAATACATAGCGCGATGTAAGAATGGGTGCGATTCCATTCTCATAAAGTTAGTCTAGGATCTCATCTAACTTTCATTATAAAATAAAAATGTAAATACCAAAAGAAAAGAGGACATGTTGATCACACAAGCCTCGGAAAGCCACGGGCTACCACCGTGTACCCCAACCCATAATTGTCAATACTCTAGAAGTGCACCATTTTCAGAGTTTTATTGCTCATCCATGTTTCACTTTACGTGATTACAAGTTTAATTAATAGCCGATCACTCTTTCAAGTAAACCATACATAATAATCATACATATAATTCACTTTTAATCTTATTTAGGACAACGATGATCACATCACAAATTGACCTTTAATTCCATTAAACTTCCAAGATAATCAAAATTGTTGAACATAGTCAACCCACCTAGCTATTTCGGCGTAATCCACCTTTACTCAACATACTACCAAGTCATGCTTGAGTAATAAATAAAATAATAATAATAATAACCTCATGGAATAATTAATAAATTCATTCCATTTAAACCATTCAATTCCAATCGTTCAATATTCCAAATGTGGTTAATAAACCAATCCAATAAAAATATGCTTGTATCAACATTATATACAAACAACTAATCCAATATAATTCAACATGCTTGCATCCATAATTCCATGCAAACATAATCAATTCACCAAAACATGTCTCATAAACATAAGCACATGAATTACTTCAATGTTTAACCAAACAATTTCCATCTAAGAGTTCTCTAAAGATGAAACTAAGTTCTTTCTTTTTGGTACCTAAACATGATACTACTTACAACGAAATAGACATGTACGTACCTCGTGTAAACAATTTTTGTGCCACTTTTAATCAATTAAAAGTCTCCTAGGGATAATCACCTCCTAGAAAACAACCAATAATAAAAAATTAATACCCAAACTAGTTTCCAGCAATATAAATTTGATTAAAACTCCTTAAAACTTCCTTTAAAACATGTTTTTATGCTTAATTAATCATTGAAAATTCAATAAGAACAAAACCCCAATTTAATTAATTATTAGAACCCTAAAATCTCAATTTAAATACTAAAACCCTAGGTTTTAGAATCATAAAATCTGAAAAATAAAAACATGTATAAAATCTGAAAATATGAATTTAAACAACCAAAATATGGCTTTTCATACTAATAAATTAAAAATAATTTCAAACAATTAAATCAAAAACCCAAAACAATACTTATATAATTATGCAAATAGAAATAGAAATAAGGGTGAAAAAAGAAGAGGAAGACCAGCCACGGTGGGAGGCCGGGCAGCGGTTGATCGCCAACGGTTAGGGAACGCCAGCGCCGGTTTCAGGCGAGAACAAGTGGCAGCAGCAGCTGAGCAGGGGTGGCAGCAAAGTGAGTAGTAGCTCACGTAGGAAAGAGGGGGGAAAAGGAAAGAAAAAAAGAAAAAAGAAAAGAAAAAATAAAGGAAAAATAAAAGAATTAAAATAAAGAGGAAAAAAAAAATTAACTAACCTTTTTGTGTGGCGAAAAATCGGGGATTTATGGGGTATTTATAGGATAGAGTTGTAGGGTAAAAATTGGGACTCATGAAAATAATAGGCCAATTGAATAAATAAAATGGTTTGGAATTTGTTTGTATGGACATAAATTGTATAATGGACCATAAGAATAAGTCGATTGTTGTGAGGCCAACATACAGTACGCAGACTTGGTGGAAAATGAACCATCTCTTGTGAACTTCCTGTAGACATAATCATCTACCAGCTGCCTCGGTCTTTCGAGGCCAAGAATAGAACAAGCCTCTGAGGCAGGGTATAACGAATAAGGTAATTTACAATCATTGTTACTAAATGGTGGGATTTTATTTTTCTGATAGTGGATTTAGGGTTTACTCCAAATCATTTGTTTAAGGAAAAAACATTACTCACGTATTATTATTCCAAATCCTTGACTATGATCCAATTGTTCTTTGGTCCTGCTTAGATTCTATACAATATGTGAATCAATGTATATTATTTGGTCTAAAAGCAAACACTATTGATGCCCTTCTTAAAATTCAGAATTTCTCCTTTCAAAGAAATAATTATAATGGAGAATGAATCAACAAATTTAAAGGAGTGGTTCAAAGTGATGGAATATATAACCTGGAAAATTCCCTGTATGTTTCTCCTAGTGAGAAACGAAATTTGTTTCTCATGGGGCATTTTTGTGAATAAATCAACAACTTTTTTTTATTATTATGGCTCCACAGTTGAATAAAGTTGAATAAAGTTGGTTTATTTACAAAAATGTCATGTGAGAAACAAATTTTGTTTCTCACTATGAGAAACCTTGCTATTGTAAGAGAAATTTTTTTTTATCTTTTCTCATCTTATATAAGACGGCACCCTTGCCTCTCCCTACCCTCCATCAACAGGGCGACTCGGCCTCAAGAAATCAAAATTTTGCTCGCTAACATAACAGTGGTATTCAATAGAGGCGCGCGAATTGAAGACATGGCTCAACTTCTAAGGGCTGAAGGCCAAATTGAGCTCAAATGTCACGCAGACAAATTCTTTGATATTTATACAAGAAAAGCACACCTTATTCCAAAAATAACCCCTAACAAAGTTCCCAAAGCTGAGCTTGTTGAGGGGGAGTGGGATAAGGTGGGTGCTGTATGTAATTGGACTTATCTCATAGGTAAGTGAAGTTACATCTTAACACATGCACTCACTTGCTCCTACATTATATGGATATGTTTTATTCACCTGATTTTTACTAATCTAATATGATTGTTTTTATGGTTTTTTGAGTTCATTTATATGAGTTATTTAATAGTTAAGATTATTTTTCATAATATTTTATTTGTAACATCTTGCTATTGTGATTTGAAAATAATTGAATTTTCTGTCTGAAATTCATACAATAATAGTACTAAAAAAGAAAGGTCTAATACCAAGAAAATTAACATCACCAACAAATAATTAAGGATAGTAACAGTTAGAGTTGAGCTTCGATAAATTTGTCAATCAAACTGTTGTACTCCATATTAAACTTGAAATGAAGAGCAAGTGTAACATATGTTAATGATAACTACAAAAAAAATTGACCTTTTGATAATATTTTGAAGGGATCTACTTAGCAGAAATCTAAACATAAATATTTTTTGGATTTGTCATTGTAGATGATAACGGTAAGCCAACATTAATTTCCGGCAAGACAAGAGCCGAGGAGTTGGATTTCGAGAACAGGACTTACATATTCGATGTTATTGACGGACATGCCCGGGAAAAATACTACAAGACCTTCAAGGGCAAGATGGAAGTAACTCCAAAGGGCGAGGGCTGCATTATGAAGTTGAGCTTGGAAGTTGAGAAGCTGAATGAAGATGCTCCTGAACCAAATGAGCACATCGGTTTAGAATTCGACATCGCAAAAGATATCGATGCTTATCTTTGCAGCACTTGATGAATGATGATGTTGATGATCCATTATTGTATGTGCATGCTTTACTAATAGTCTAATAATAAGACTTTATATCGTCTCCAAAAAAAAAAAAAATTATATATTTAGCTCTTACTATAATGTACACACTTTTTTTTTCTCAAATTTATTTAAATATTTCATAAAAGGGAAATTCTCAACGACGACCCCCAACTTCTGCTACGCACCAACGATAACCCCTTTTTTTTGGATTATATAAAATGACCCTAATTAAGAAATTTATCTCACATATGACATTAATGAGTGTTATTTATTTATAAAAACCTAACTATGGTTAAGTTGGGGGAAAAAAATTAAAAACTAAAAATAAAAACCACCAACCCAGCCACCACTTCCACCCTCATCCCCACCGACCCACTAGATCAAACAAGCACCACCTCCACCCTCACCGAAGCCACCAAACCCCCTCATCTGAAACGCCGACACCTCCCACCCTCACCGGAGCCACCATCCCTCCATCCTTTAATTTCCTCTGCCTAGATTTCTGAGCGGAGATCGAAGAAGATAAAGAGATTGAGAGAAGGTGCGTGGAGGAGTGGGGAGAGAAGAAACAGAAAGATCGAGAGATCGATTGTTTGGTGGTCCAACCCTCGAACCTAGAAACCCCCACCCACCATCTCTGTTGAAATGAACCCGGCCCTCGAACCTAGAAACCTCCCCCAAAACCTTGCTCGAAACTAGGAAAACCCCACCCCATCGCCAATTTTTGGGTTTTGGAGTGGTTTTGTAGTGATTTTGCGTGTGTCGGGACGGGTTACGGTGGTGGTTGTGGGAAGCAAGGAGGTATTTGGGGGAGGGCGACAAGGAGGTGGTTGGGGAGTGGGCTGGCCGGAACGGTGGTGGTTCTGGGCGAGTGCAGCAGGTGGGTTGTGGGTGTGAAGGTGCTATGATTAATTAAGGTTGATGCTATTACTTGGTGGTGCGGTGGCTTTGGTTGCGGTGAGGACTGAGGAGTGGGGGATGATAATGTTGGTGGTGGCGGGTGGGAAGAGGGTGGTAAGGAAGGAGGAGAGGTTGGCCGGAATCAATGGGGGATTGGGGGTTAGGATTAAATTATTTAATTTTTCTTTTTTTTAAGAAAAATATAAATATAACCATAGTTAATATTTAATGAAATATGGTTATAGGTGGGATGAAATTTTTAACAAGGGTCATTTTGTATAATCCAAAAAAAAGGGAATTACTGTTAGTGCGTAACAAAAATTAGGGGTCACCGTTGAGAATTTCCCTTCATATAATGGTTAGCTTTAATAATAAGATTTTACTTTTAAACAAACTAAATCAAACAAAAAAAAATAGTAACCTAATTTAGAATAGCAAGATAAGTCAAATTTATTGGGAAAATTATAACGTTACACTTCATTTTTTTATTTTAAATCAAACTAATAATAATAAACCTAGTTTGAATTTTAAGGAGTTGTTTGGTTGAACTTCTTGGAATGGGTTGGAATGGATTAAATCTATTTCATGGCTTTATTTGTTTGGTTAGGCTATTTAAGTATGGAATCTCATACCTGGGGAATTCTAACTCCATCCCATTCCATTGAAATCTCATACCCACCTCCACCCTAAAGATTCATAATCCATACTATCACTCAATTATGAGAATCCATTCCATGATTAAACCAAACATTTTTAGATTGGTATGGAATATAGAATCCATACCACCCAAGTATGAGAATTCATACCAATCCATTCCATCTTAGTGAACCAAATAGCTACAAATTATAATGACTATGAACCCAAACTCCCTCTAATCAAAATGCGAAGTCATCTACTTCATCCCTCACCTTCACTTTTTCCCTCCTCCTCCACCTCCTATAAATTTCCTATAATAATTACTTTATTTTAAACAATTAACTTAATAACAATTCAAATTAAGTCATTTTTATATAATAGTAAATATTTTCCGTTTATAACTGAAATTTTGTTCATTCCCTCACAAACAAGTTCAAAATTTCAAACAAAGTACCTAACTTTTCAACAAGCATTATATATGTTTTACTCATTTAATTTACATAGAAATGAGCAAAATTCTCAAAACTGGCTTTATTCATTTTAATTCAAATGAGCAAAATCCATATAAGTCAGTTTGCTCATCATGTATACCACATATTGCTACGGTTATATCTAGCAAAGTACAATTAGTTGTATGGTGCATGAGCTGGTGGAGTTATTTTTAAATAGAGGAATTAGTTGACTTAGCTTAATTCAATTGGTCATTGGTACCTAGCTAGTGGGAAATATTTTGTACCAAAAATGTACTCCAATTAATGGTCTTTTTTTGTTATGCGTAAAGAGAGATGCAAAAGACAAGTAATACAAACGGAATATGATGTATAATCGTGAATATTTTACTTAACCAAAATTAGTTGGAATCTAGTTGGACCATAATATATATATGTATTGATGATAATGCACACACAAGTTAGACTTGAGCGTATAGTTGAGTTTAGGCTTTTAGCTTTATAAACTAGATTACTAGATTTTAGCCTCCAAATTATTAATTGCGTTATAAAGTTACATACATCAGATATGATTCCAAATTTTTATTACGACATCCACAAAAAAAATGGTCCATTAGTTGGATAATTTTGGTCCTACTTCAATACTATGCCATTGATGCCCTTCTTGATGATTCAGAATTTTTCTTCCCTTCAATTCCAAAGAGATAAGGAAGAATCTTTAAGTTAAAGGAGTGGTTCATAAAGAGTTAACCATGTTTTATTAAAGAGGGGGATGCAAGGAATGGGCCTGGACCTCTAAATCGTGGCAACTATTTTGTTAATTTACAATTTCTGTTTTGGTTAATTAGTTTTCTTTTACAGTAAATTCTGTTTTTTTTTTTTTTGGGGGGGTGGGGGGTTATAAGGGGTTTGTTAGTCTTTTACTTAAGAGAATAAAATTCTGTTGGGGGGGGGGGGTGGGGGAAGAATGTAGAAGATCAGAGTAGTATAAGTATGTGTGCATGAGCACAACAATGGGTAATTCTCTGTTTCTCATTGTGAGAAACATGTTTTGTTTCTTATTGGGTATTTGTCAAGATCTGGGACTCCCACTCATAATACATACACGGTCGTCACCAGTGAAAAACATCACATTATTTTCCAAAATGTCATTATGAAAAACAAAAGTGTTTCTCGTAATGAGGAACTGGGGCTCCCTCCACAACAATGGGTATGCAGAAAATTGTGTTGATGAGCTTAGGCTTGTCTTGGGAGATGTATCATCCTTCTTCTCGAATTGAAGGAAACTACCATTGTTTAGCTGGTTAATAGCTAGCTTTACAAATATCCATTGTATTGTTTGGTTAATAGCTTTTCAATACAAATACCCCGTTATATAGGGAATATCTTGCTGTTCTTGCCTTATTCTTATCCTTGGTAATCTGTTCCAGTAGCTAGAATTCAGCTCCTAGCAGGGGACTCTCATCTTTGGGCTATCGCAGGCTTAGTTGCTTACCTACGTACGCACCTCAGATCAGTCGGCTTCACACCCTCAACCTTGAGCTATTGCTGACAAACAGTAGAGTAGTCTTCAAGAAAGGAAAAAAATGGTTGAGCTTCGAAGGGTCGGAAGCCAAATTGAGCTTAATTAAGATTGATGCGGACAAGTTTTTTGAGGTTTGGGCTTGCAAACCACTCCTTAGTTTATTTCCAAACTATGCCCTAACAAAGTTCCTAAAGTTGAGCTGGTTGAATTGAAGGGGAGTGGGATAAGGTTGGCGTTGTCATAGATTGGACTTATCTTTTTGGTAAGTATTACATCTTACAGTCGGTCAACGACTATGGCTAACTCGATCCTATACTATCACTACGTTTCTGTTCACCTTATTTTTACTAAACTAAATATCACTATTTTTAGTATTTGAGCTAATTTTTTCTGAAATTATTGTAAAGTTATCCTCGGTATAGCTATTTATACATCTTACACTCGATCGATCTAGGCTAACTTGACGTCGCAAAAGTATTCGATGCTATTTATGCTGATCTTAAAAACCATTGATGATATGCTTATACTGTGCTTAAATAAATGTTTTCCTACCGATCTATAAAATCGATCTAATTAAGTATTATTAGCTCTTTTGTTACATCAATATTGTTGAGGTTTAATGCAATGTAACGTAACTTGTGAATTTAATAAGGTTTATGTGCAATATACCTCGATGATGCGTGTATCTTTGTTGTTGTATAAATTTAAAGAAATACATACAAAATGCATGCAATGTTAATCATCTGATCTTACACTCAGTCACTTATATACACTATATATATCTTAAAATATCTTGCACACTTTTTTTTATCAAAATTTCTTAAACTATGTATGATATAATTAAATTCGAAGTAAGTAATAACACAAAGTAATAATATCATATCTTTTCATCGAACATAGCAACATATAGCGTCTCAAACTCATATTTAAGTAAACTTTTTAATTGTAGTAGGCCAATGCTTCATACATAAACGTTGCAATAATCAAAATACATGAAATACTGTTACAGTAATCATCAATGATATTCGGTACATATGACTAATGCGAGCTGACATATGACTCTATCATCAATGAAATTCTATCATACATAGTATCACATCAATTACACACTACTAAAAGCGAATTTAATTTTATTATAATTATTCAACATGCGTGCATTGCAGGGTTTAACCTAGTTTATTCATAAGATGGCATGACTATAATGCATGGCATGTTGCGAAATTGATATGATCAAGGCCTACATACATAGATGAGCATCCATATCATTTGCCATGGAAAGCATGAAGTCAAGGTACATATTAGCATTAGGTGCATCATCATTCATCTTCTCATATTCGAAGCACCACGTGATTATGCAACCCTTATTACCACTCTTTGGAGTTGCTTGCATCGTGGCGGTGAAGCTCTTGTAGTATTTCTCCATGATGAACCCATCATGATAACTGTATTTCACTGTCCTGTTCTTTTCGTCTATCTCGTCTATTCTTGCCTTCAGGGTTGCTCGTTCACCGGTTTCATCTGCATTAATACCAAATTTGGACTTTATAAAGTTAGGGATTAGTACGTACACCAAACCACATGTAATTTTAGTTGTTATATAAAAGCTCAAATTTATTCCATTTTTTCCTCTTGGTAATTTTTTGAGAAAGGGTACTTAACCCTTATGAAATTTGAAAACAATAAATCACTTATTATAAGATAGCTAAGCCAGTCGTCACCAATAAAAATTTGATTAGTAGTTTGTAGCAAAATACTCACAATTATAGATGTATATGCTCTGATGCTCATATAAGCTAGCACCTATCTATACTTTTACACAATCTAAAAACATATGTGGAGTACATTTAATTTGAGTGACATACAACGAATATCAAATAGTTGTGCGAGCTTAAAAATTATATGTATTTCAAAAACAATGCAAATACTAAAACAATTTTAGTAAAATCACACGTAATAAAGTAATACAATACAAGAATAAAATTAAACCGCGCTAAATAAGTTAAATCTTTAAATGTTAAAATTTAAATAGTAAATAGAATTTTTATTGTTATTATTGAAAAGAGTGACTTCATTTGTGAAAGACAAAGGCATACTTACTGATAACATAACTCCCAGTGATGACAGCACCAACCTTATCCCACTCCCCTTCATTCAACACAGATTTCTGAATTTTATTAGGGCTCATATTAGAAATTAGGTACATTTTATGAGCCCAAATATCAAAGAATTTTTCAGCTTCACAATTGAGCTCTATTTGCCCTTCATTTCTGTGCAGCTGAGCCATTTTTCTCTCTTCAATAAGTACTGGAATAAGCTACGAAAGACTCTGATGTTTCGAGCTTGTTCGTGTACTCGAAACTGGCCAAGAAGCTAATGACTTAAATAGACTCAGTAGTGTTACATTAAAACCAAGTTGCACTATCTATAATTGCTAAGAATTACTATGAACCATTCCTTTGATAACTTTGATATTCCCCATTATTGTTGCTTTAAAAGTTGAAATTCCAAAGTATGAATTAGGTCATTGAAGATGGTCTACTTTTAGAATAATCACAATAAATAGTTAATTTAAGCTAATCAATTAAGACCAAATCAGCATATCCTATTAAATTTGCATTCGAATATCATAATATCATGTAGTGATATATGGAATCAACTTTTAGTAAGTTACTTTAATTTAAATAATTGTAGCTGGATTTGCTGCATGTATACTTGTATGTTCAACAATTTACAAGTATCTAGAATAATTAGATCTTGATTAAAGCGGAACATTGAAATAGTTTGATCCTCATTTTTGCATTCGTACTCAAAACTCTATTTTACAATACAACACCTCTTGATCACTACCTAATTATTTAAGTACCTAATAATAATAATTAAGCTACAAACATGAAATAAATATGGGGTACATCTATTCCTTAATCACTACATAATATGTACGGAGTGTTTAATAAATAAGATATGGTCTTGCTAAACAAGGCTTAATCTATGAAAGTCAGAAAGTGGACCATGTAAGATGCCCTAACAAGGAATTTTGCGATTGTTTTAATCAATAATGGGGAATAATCAACAAATTAAAAGGAGTGGTTTACAATAGTTATGCATATTATTGTGCAATAAAACTTGAGTGATTGAGCCACCAACACTTCTATATAAAGCATCCTGTTACTTTCTTGTTAAACATCTACTACATACACTCGATCGAGCTCGAAACAACATAAATTTGCTTGCTTATTACTGTTTAAGGAGACATTAATGGCTCAGCTTCACAGGGTAGGAGGGCAAATTGAGCTCAAATGTCAAGCTGAAAAGTTCTTTGATGTTTGGGCTCATAAAATATACTTGGTGCAAAATATGTGCCCTAGTAAAGTTCAAAAAACTGTGCTGAATCATGGGGAGTGGCATAAGACTGGTGCTGTCTTGACCGGAGATTATCTTATCAGTAAGTACACCGGACACATCTTACACTTCGATCCACATCTATTTACTCCATCCGTTCATTTTTCTTGTCTGATTCAAAAATGGGACAAGTAAAATAAGTTCGTTGGATGATTTTTTTTGTATAAGATGTACCTAGCCAATTATATATATGTAAGACGCGTATTCTAAATTATAGTCTTAATTAAGCATTTGTCGTTACAGATAATATTGGTGAATGTGCATCCATCAAGACAAGGGTAGACGAGATAGATGAACAAAACAAGTCAGTGACACATAGTTATCATGAAGGTTATATCATGGAGAACTACTACAAAACCTTTTACTCGACGATGCAAGCAATTCCAAAGGGTGAAAATAAGGGTTGCATTATCAAGTGGAGCTTTGTGTACGAGAAGATGAATAAAGATGCTCCTGAAGCAACCGTGTACGTCGATTTTATGCTTGCCATGGCTAAAGATATTGATGCTTATCTTTGCAGGGGTTGATGATTATATCGTCCAACATTTATGCATCAATTCATCATATCGTATAATTTTTGTCGATTATTGTGTCGTTTTAATTTACATATAGTTGTTGTGTTACTTCTTAGCATCAATAAAAAGGCCATGTCATATGGCATAGAGTGTATGTACCGTCTTGCAGATGGGATTAAGTAGATGTCGATTGTTAATGGTTGTTGGAACCTCTTTTGATTTGTTTTATGCGTCATATGTTTGTTACTAGTACATCAATTTTTCTAGTTACTCGTCATTTACTAGTTTTTAAAGATTAAAGGTAAGGTACCCAATGACGAACAAGGTTTTATGTATGTGTGTGCACATGCCCGCACTAATTAGTATGGTGGACTGGTGGTGACAATATATGATGGTGTCAAGCTATGCGGTGACAACTGACAAGTATATAAAACTGTGAATAGCACATAGCACGGTTTTATACGATGATAATTTATAAATATTTAGTTAAATTAATCACAATTCATTACTTACACTTATTATAAAATTCATTAAGTATTGATATCTAAAAGGATGATATCCCGCATTGAGCAGGGACCATTAATTTGACATTGAAAAATAAGAGAGACATTGACTAATATATTTAAGTAAAATTATATTGATGCATTACTTTCACCAACATATAACCAATCAAATTTTCATATGAAATCTCCTAAATTTATAGGTAATCGTACTATTCTTCAATGTGAGCTAGCTATCAAGTCAACACGTGATATTATGTTCAAAATGCTCGGTAATGAAGTTCATCAATATCAAATGTTGTAATTTGGACCACTTACTATGAAAAAACACACTTACTAAATTTAAAACTACGAATTCGTTTGTCAAGTGAATTGTCATCTATTCTAATTGAAGAGTACACGTCCAAATCTAGATAAACTCAAGTACGAACAAAGTAATTTGTTGTCTAATTTCAATTAACGACAAAAATCAGAAAAAGATAAGGCTTTCACTTGTAAATCTTACCTCGAACCTCGTGCCAAATTCCACATGTCACCTACCCATCAAACATGGGACCCATGCTTAGATCTTCGCTTCGTCCTTGCACGTAACAATTTTCTCTTCTTCCTCCCTTTTACACACGTAATAAACTCATCTCAAAAAAATCAGGGGAAAAAAATAAAAAATAAAAAATTGATTGAATTTGTGAAAAATGGAGCATGAATTAGGTGTATCAGATGCAGCAAATCGAAGATTGAGCACTCTAGCAAGACATTTGGAGGTGAAAACAATTGAATCATCTGAAAATGCAGGATTATATGCATCAATGACATCTGGGTTTGATGGGAATTCTAATTCTGTGTTTTCCCATGTTGTTAAAGCTCCTGAAGATCCAATCCTTGGGGTAAATTCTCTCTCTTTTGACCTTTTTCTTTGATGGGTCAACATCATATTGTTGTAGAATCATGTTTTCTTTTGAGATTTGATGAATTTTTTTGTGTATGAGATTATTGGGATTGTTTTTGTTATTTTGATAAGCTTGTTTATTGTTGGACATGTTAGTTGATGAGGTTTATGTTTCATATGTTCTGCTTTTGATTGGAGGTGATGTTATATTTAATCTGTGTCATGTAGACTACTCCCTCAATCTGTTGTCGGGATATAATTGTCGCGTTACCAGTTCAAATTACAATGTCAACGTGACTATTAATTCCGATACGAAGGGATAATTGGAACCAGATATTGAATGCTGGCTTAATGGCTTATGAATAGTTTCTTTGAATTAAGGAGTAATACGAGTGCATTATAGTCCCCTTGATATATTTTTTGGCCTTGTTAGCATATTGCATTTCCAAATTTGGCTAGCTACTGTGATTTTTACAGATACTGTAACACTAGTTATTGAAAGTCACCATTTATATGTTCAGAGTGTGTATATATGCTCCATTGTTAGGTCGGTTTGCTATGTTTTAGACAGATTAAGGTTGTGTCTTCATATTGAATCATTATATATCCAAGTTTGTGAAATTCATATATGCCAGTAATTGCTAAATGAATTAGAAAGCCTTGACTTTGATTTGTTTTTCGGCTCTAATGTCAGATTTGTTATTTAGATTGGCTGTTATGATGAGGAAATATATGCTTAATGCTTCAGTCATAGTCTAGTGTTGCAAAGCATATAGTATTAACTTGTAAAAACCGATTGTCAAAAAAAAAAAAAAAAAAAAAAAAAAAAAAAAAAAACTTGTAAAAGCGAACATTATCGTATCAAACTACTGGTTAAGTCCGATTTTAGGATTAGTTTTGTATAGAAGTTGCTGTTTAGTGCTTCAGCCAACTAATATCTTTTTGTTGCTGTTATTTTTTTTTTAAATCATCTGCCTTATTACACACTTGTCTGTGAAAACTGAAAACTATTTACTTATTCTGGATTTTTGGACAAATGGATGCTGAGGTTTAGACGATGAAAGTTTTTGTGTTTGATTTTGTGTTACTCACATGTTTTGGGCTTAACTATCCTTAGCTTCTTAACAGGTAACTGTTGCATACAACAAAGATCCAAGTCCTGTTAAGTTGAATCTAGGTGTTGGTGCTTATCGAACTGAGGTAATCTTTTCATTCTTATTCAATTGATCTTCTGTTTTAGAGATGCCTTATTCAAGATAATTCACATAAATCATTGAGGCTTAAATGTAGTTATAGAAGTGAGTGTAACAAATACTAATGTTCTTACACGGCGAGGCTAGTTATAAATATACAAGTAGTTAGTATTGATGGGTTTTGAGGTTTTAAACTAGTTTCTTGTTTCAATGGATTATCATTCCTGTGTCTTTTTTCAGGAAGGTAAACCTCTGGTTTTAAATGTAGTGAGACGAGCTGAGCAGCAACTCATTAATGACAGGCAAGTCAATTAAATAGTGCAAGTATAACTTGGATCTATAATTGGGAAAGGGAACTGAGCAATATATGTGTTTGATTTTGAATAGGTCTCGAGTTAAAGAATACCTCCCAATCACCGGGCTTGCAGAATTCAATAAATTGAGTGCTAAATTGATGTTTGGTGAAGACAGGTAATCATCTTGATTTTGTTAGCATTTGATGGGGAATATAATTGCCAAACACTATTGTATGATAATGCATATACTATACTTCGTATATGCTGTTATGCCTGTGAAACTAGTGACTCCCTTGAATTGATAAAATTTGTTGAGCCCATAATCATGAGTCACTTATAAGTAATTGTTTTCTTGTTTTGGCCACAGCCCTGCTCTTAGAGAGAATAGAGTTACTACTGTCCAGTGTTTATCTGGTACAGGCTCGTTGAGGGTGGGAGGTGAATTTTTGGCGAAACATTATCATGAGGTAACCTCCCCTTTTAAAAAGCATACACACTATTATATTTTTGTTAATATATTTTGTTGATTATTTGTGTTTAAACTTTGCTTTGTTTTGCAGAGGACAATATATATTCCCCAGCCGACATGGGGAAATCATCCAAAGATATTTACACTGGCTGGCTTATCTGTCAAGACTTACCGTTATTATGATCCGGCTACACGTGGACTACATTTTCATGGTAGGAAATCATTTATTCAAGTAGATGTGCATCTTACGTTTTTCCCCAACCAAATTTGTACAGTTGCATAACTTGCATATAACTGTCCATGGACACCAGGCCTCTTAGAAGACCTTGGTTCAGCTCCTTCAGGAGCTATTGTGCTGCTTCATGCATGTGCGCACAATCCAACTGGCGTTGACCCAACAATTCAACAATGGGAAAAGATCAGGCAATTGATGAGATCAAAAGGGTTGTTACCTTTTTTTGACAGTGCTTACCAGGTACATCAGCTAGGGTGTGCTTGCTTATTAATGTATTGCTATGATCTGAATAGTTAAGCATTGGAAGGCTGGAGACAATTTAGATATTTCTTCTTTGCTTATTCTAAAGATTATTTTCAGGGATTTGCTAGTGGAAGCTTAGACACTGATGCAAAACCTGTTAGAATGTTCGTGGCTGATGGTGGTGAATGCCTTTTAGCTCAGAGTTATGCTAAGAACATGGGCCTTTATGGAGAGCGTGTTGGTGCTTTAAGCATTGTAAGAGCATATCATTTGTTTTTCTCTTCTTGTGAGTTTGTGTTCGTCAATTTCTACTTTCTCTTGCTTTTCGGACCTTTGTTTCTCTTGGTTTCATACACTTCTTTTTAACCTTTTTGAATCAAAACGTGTGTGCCTCATGACAGCTGATGTAATATCGCTTTGATAGGTCTGCAAAACAGCTGATGTGGCAAGCAAGGTAGAGAGTCAACTTAAATTGGTAATTAGGCCCATGTTTTCAAATCCTCCCATTCATGGTGCATCCATTGTGGCTACTATTCTCCGAGACAGGTAAAGGTTGATTCATAATTAAGGGATGCTTGTTTTTGCTATCAAACCAATCTTCTATTCATAAATGGAACTTCGCTATATTGAAGGAATCTGTTTGGTGAATGGACTGTCGAGTTGAAGGCAATGGCTGATCGTATAATTAGCATGAGGCAGAAACTCTTTGATGCTTTGCGTACTCGAGGTCAACTTTTTCCCATGAAATTTTTTGATTCGTGTGGCTACTTCTTTTGTACATCCTATTGGTTCGTATTTTAGTTGTGTAGAAGTGAAGCTTCTTTCTTCTTGGCTCCCCTTTCTCTTGTAAACAGGTACACCTGGTGACTGGAGTCATATAATCAAGCAGATTGGGATGTTCACTTTCACCGGATTAAATGAGGAGCAAGTCACTTTCATGACTAAAGAGTACCACATATATATGACATCTGATGGGTAAGTAATAATAGCTTCTCTACCTGGGTTGCACCACTAGCTAGCATTCCCTTTATAAGTCTAGACTTGTTGCAAGAAAAAACCCTGTGTTATTGCTAGGCTTATTTCAGGGTATCTAATACTATATACTTAAGCTTGTGAAACACTACTTATCTGTGAGATGCAAATAGTTCTTCAGTCTGAAGTTTTTGTTAAGTATACTTGGTGAAGTAGACCCGTACCTAGTTAACCCAAATTTGGATTATATACTTGTATCAAAAAATAAAGGGACCAATCTATATGACACAATCAAAACTGACCTGAAAAGTAATGTAAGTTGTGGTATACCCAACTTGAATGGATTCGGACTGGCCTGAATCCAAACTTAATAACCCAATACCTGCATATGACTGAAACTAAAATTTTGTCCTAACTCAAACTTCATCCTAATGACCTATGTGCAACCTCTGCTTTTAAGACAATGTGTTCTTTTCTATAAGTGTGTTTCAAAGTGTGCATTGCGTTAACCAGTCTACAATTATAGAGCAAAAACATGCATCTAGATCTTGATAGTCAGGATTCTTGGTTATCTTATTATATGTATATAGATAATTATCCTTATTATATGTATATAGATAATTATAGAGCAAGATCATGCATGTCTTGACAGTAAAATTTAATTAGTAATTTTTGTTTCCAAATGATATAAATTGTTACAAGAAATTCAAATAACATCAACCTTCTGATTTCCAGGAGGATTAGCATGGCAGGTCTAAGTTCAAAGACTATCCCTCACCTTGCAGATGCCATGCACGCTGCTGTCACACGTGTTTCATAGAACGTCATCATTTATTGTCTGCTGAGTGTTTCTTCCAGTGCAGTCCTGATAGCTTCTGCAATTTACTAGTTCATTACCACCAAGGACATTGTATGTTGATCGGAAATACACTCTCACCAGGTCAAGCTTCAGATGATATAAATATACAGCTGCTATCTTTCTTTTTTGCTTTTTTCTTTCATTTTTTCCCTTTTATCAACCTTGTATACTTGAATATTCAGGTGTAAGTATTGGTATTTTGACATTTTCCCAATAAGCTTAAGCTTTCATGCATATATGTTTTAAAAGGCTAAGCTACTTATTCCCAATAAGTGTAAGCTCAATGCTTTATATTTACTTATCATATAGTGACACAAGTTAAGTTTCCATCAACCCTTGCATTGTGGTGTCTGATAACCAGGGAGTAATAAAATGTAAGGATACTAATTCAACTATGGAACCCTGTATGTTGAGGGATCCTAGTTCAAATAAATGTTTTAAGTCAGAAACAGGGAACCAAAAAATTTATGCAATTAAAAGTATACTGAATCAAATAATTGCATCATTCAAAATAAATGTGTTACAGCAAGAAACAATACATTTTACGAACAACATTATGTACTAGCTCTCCTCAAAGTTGATACTATCTGTAACTTTTCAGCAAACAAGACGGGCTTGATAAGCTTGCAGCTGTAACACTTTTCCCCTTCTCCGCTGCCTTTGCTGGTGTCCCACATTCACTGAAATCAAGAACCCGCCGCTCTGACTGGAATGTCACGGGCAATAATTTGGTTAGCAAACATTTTTAGATAGATGTCCAAACATTTTGCTAGTTTCTGACAAGTAATAATGAAGCTAAGCAGCCAACAGGTACATTTTCAAGCACAGCTTGATTTTCAAGCAGGCAAGAAGTACGTTTACAAGCATATACAGCTAATGGAAATTAAGGGAATCATGTATAGCATAGCTTGATTAAGTATACTTTGTTTCTATTCTCTTCAACTTTATCCTCTAAATGAAAATCATGTATAGCAAAACAATCTATATAACAGGCAATATATGAATAAGGTTTTTTGAGAAAGGAACAAGCAGACACACCGAGACATTTGATGCCAAATGTAAGCGGCTGTCAAGCTGACTGTCAGCAAACTTGTTACTCTGGTCCTCCAGATTCTGACTTTTCAAGCATCTTTGCCTCAAAATGCTTTCTGGAGTTTCACTTCCTAGAACTTCCCGGGCATCTGCATATGCCTCTGCACTCTGCTCGTTTATTTGTTTCATCAACCCCAACGCATCATAGCTTCTATCTCCTGGACTCATGAAAATACCTATATCCTGAGTACAGAAAAAAGCATAAAAAGGTGATTTATTAGCATTATTTACTTGACAGATATTGAACACAAGAACAGAAAAATATATATATACACCATACCTCAATCATTGCTTCTGCTTCAAACCTCGAGCAAGCAATCACAGAACTAAAGTACCAAGGTGACTTCCATGCTGAAGGAGATTCAATACTTCGTCTAAAAGGTGTTCCGCCAAATCTAAAATTATTGATAACAAGCATTGGGAGACATTAGTACGACTCCAGAAAACATATAAGAAGTATAATAGAAAAGCCCAACATACAGAAAGCAGAAGAATCTCACATGTTTAAATTCTCGGCACCAACTTCATTAATAAGGCTGTCAGAATCAATGTTTTGCTTCTTTTGGACAAATAAGGGCGGGCTTACAACAGATTTAGCTTTACTAGTCATTGACTCTGGCATGGCTGCTTGTTGTTTGGAAGTCATTTTCGCGCTGTGAACTTCCAAAGTTTTGCCACCTATCTCTGATCCTGTTTTAGGTCCAGCTCCATCCAGAGAAGTATATTGTGTATCACTGAAGTAGCGTTCAACAAGTACTCCTTTAGGCTGTTGGAACCAATACTAAATCATCAGCCAATATACTTTTAAACAATAAAGGAATGGACACTACGGAATCATTCCACATCTAACGACTAGAAACAATATCGGCTATAGCCCATAGCATGAAAGAGGAAAAAAAATAACACAGATACTACACAGGATCCTCACCGTTTCTGCTGTACAATCTTCGTGGACTGATTTCTCCAGAATTTGTTCAAGATTTTCTTCCTTCTCCATATCTTTGAAGTCCTTTTTGTTTTCCTCTATTTTATCTCCTGATTCTGCATGGTTATGACTTGCCTCTTCTACTTCCCCTTCAAGAGCAGGACAAATATTTTCTTTATCTTCTATTGACGCATGATTGTTCAGATCATTAGATGCTGATTCCTTGGAATCATCAGCCTCATCAAACATAACATCCAAACGAGATAACTCGTTAGTCAACCTGGATGTGCACAAAAACTCTTGCTTAGAACTACTCCCAGTCTTCTTATCACATCGCCTATCTGAAAAAGGTGATAAAGGTGACAATAAGTCACGATGTCTTTTCTTCAAGATGGATGGTGTACATGCAAACGTTTTTGCAGCACTTTTTAACACGGCAACTGGACTGCCATCTCTAGATGGTGAGTCCCATATGGGAGTCAGACTGTTCATAGAAGACATCACCATTTGGCGAATGCCAAGAGGACTAAATTCTTGATGGACATCATTACCAGGCTGAGCAAGATCACAACTAAAAAATGGTATGTCCAAACATGGGAATCGAGGGGGTTCGTAACACAGAGTTCCAGCTTCCAGCTTGCAAGTAGCATTTTCTGGTCGTTCAACTGCACTAGACTCAATATTCTGGTTATCTGACGCTTCAGGACTAAATGTATTTACAGGGACTAATCTTGATGGTTCCTGCAATTCTGTTTGTTCTGTCAAGCCTGCATTTATATGATCATAAAATGAAGAACCAGAATTGTTGTATGCAGGAAAAAATCCCTCATCCACATTGGCAATGTCCTGCGCTTCAGATATGGCCAAGCTGTCACTTATTTGATTGAATTCCTCACAAGGATTAGAAGGTTCACAGTTTGAAGGTTCTAATGGAGTATTTGGCTGCAAAGCTACATTTCCACTTGTTTCAGGGAGCTGAAAAATGGCTTGGAAACTTAAATAATCTCTAAATCTATCCATATCAATAATTTCAGAGCAGTTGGTAATATTCACAGGACATCCATTTCCCCCTTCCTGCTCCAATAGGAGCTCAGAACAGTCTTCTTCGGTTTTCTGTCTCAGTACTGATGTATCTGAATTCACTGCCACATTACTGACTGAAGCTAGTGCATCATATTTGATAGAATGGTGAGAAGGCCCAGGAACCATGTCGCTCATTGGATCAGCAAAATAATAATTTCCTGATAAATTGGATGAGTCTGCGCCCAACTCCATGGAGGAAACATTGGGCAAGCTAATAGTACCAAAGCTGCTATTCCCGGTTGCACAAACCCCGTGTTCTCTTGAAAAATTATTTTCCAAGTATTTAGATGAGCAGCTGAATTCATAAGGTAAATCAGGAATGGTAAAGGTGATGTCCTCTGTATAATATTGCTCGGAACATGACGCAGTTGGACTAGCATTTTGAAACTTTCCATGGTCTGATTCTTCAGACAACAAGAAGTCTTCCTTCGTTTGACAAGCAGTATTAGACAGGTCACTTGCACTTTGAGAGCAACCAACTTGACTACTTTCTGAATTTTGCTCCAGCTCTGCTCCCTCTTTAAATACACTACCTTCTCCACTGCTCTGTTGTACTAGCAGGGAAGCTGTAGGCATGGATTGACTCTGATGGCCAACCAATGGCAGACCTTGGAACTGAGCAAGGAGCCCCGAGGCAATATAAGAGTCTAGTTTTTTCTTCACAGAGCTGTTCCAGTGATTTTTTATAGCATTGTCTGTCCTGATTCACCAAAAGCTTAAGTACTTCAGAACGGAAGGCATAGAGAAACTTCAAGGACAATAGCATCAACTAACATATATGCAGCCAAGTTGGCAAGCTTATCAAGCAGAGTGCATGAGAAAGACTTGTCTGGAAAGATAGGACGGGCAATAGAGGATTTATATTAAATTTTTCAAGTTTCGACAATTTCGAGCAAAAGAATTAACCGGAACAAAGTTCAAACACACCTTCCTGGCAAATATTTTGTTAGCTCTGCCCACCTATTCCCGTGAATCTGATGAGCGCGAATCAGAATCAGCTCTTCTTCTTGATTCCATGCCTCCTTGTTTATAGAAGGATTAAGATGATTATGCCACCTATTGATTGGAATCAGCAGCAATGCAGCAAAAATGTCAGAATTATATAATTTCTCCAGTCCCTTTTATTATTATTATTCATTTTATTTAATTCCATTTCTTTTGCAGAACTTTGGGAGTTAAAAATAAATAAATAAATAATAAGCTTTGAAGTAACTAAAGTCTCAACAGTAGTAACTTTTCTTAAAAGATGACAGAATGGACAGCTAGAGGAAACAAAAAAAAAATTACAAACTTTTACCAGTACAAATGGGACTAAAGAAATTCTAATAGGTTTATAGGTATTTTATACCAGCAGCATAAGTTAAAACCAAAAAAATAATTAATATATATATATATATATATAAATTAAATAATTAAAAAAATAAAAAAAAAATGGCAATTTCTTTGTATCCCAGTCAAAAAATTGAATCACCAAGGAAGAAACTAGTTTGATGATTTGGCTGACTAAAGACATGTTTTATAATATATAATCATAAAGGACAAAAACTTTTACTACATAAGCAGTTTAAAATGCTACCATTAGCATCTAACTGGATAGGCATCGAATGTAAGCTTGTCAAGATGTCAAATCAACTACACTAGAATTTACCAACACTTGTTAAAACTAAGAAAATTAAAATGAAGCCTTATACAGAAAAGTAGGCTCAAAAAAATAGTAAATTGAAAATTTGAACCACGAAAAGAAAGAATTTGGTTCATACCTTTCTCGGCATTGTTTTCCTATACGTCCTGGAAGATGTTGAGCAATTGTGGACCATTTTTTTGGCCCATATTTATTAACTAATTGAGCAATAACTTCATCCTCCTGAACAGCATAAAATGGTATACATATGTTAAGATTAATACTAAGAATATGACTTGACACTTTATACACAGTTCATATACCTCTTTAGACCAAGGGCCCTTAATAAGCTCGGGATTGAGGACCTTTTGCCACCTGTGCAGGCACTGAACATCAGTTCTGTCCTTGAAACATTCAGCTGCAAATTACTTAATCGTGATTAATAACTTCAATATTCAATAAACAATTTAAGCAACAATAACATTCATTAAAAGAAATCATCAGGAAAAGAGCAGACTGGTAATTTATTCAGCAGACTCTAGAGATAAATCAATCTGAAAGAAACAACAACGACAGCAATAATGATAGACATATTTGGGACTTCAAAAAGGAATATGGCGTAAACAATGGGGGATGGATGGAGTGTAATATATACAAATATAGAAAGACATAAAACAAATGAAGTAGCTACAGATAAAAACATCAATACGGGGCATATATTGCTAGAGATGGAACACACCTATCTTCTTCCAATTTTTCCCTTTAAAGCGCTGAACAGCCTTGCGCAAAATCTCATCCTGTAAGAAGAAGAGAAATGCCCTATCATTAAGAAGACACACTTCAAAGAAGAAGAAGACAAGGTAAGGGGGGTTAAAACAAAGTCAATTTCAGCTTCACCAAGCAAAAAGAAAATATCCACTCATTTGTAACTGAACATTAATTGTTCCAGGTCAGTTTTATAAAAGGCATACTTAGAAAGGCCTGTTCAACATGTTTTCAGTGAACCCCTCTGAAGCTCTTGGCTGCTATTTAGAGCTTGATTGAAATGCCTTTTGTTTTCTTCATGCAAAACTTTTTACTGTTCTTTGATACAGGCTCTTCGGCACCATATTCTCTGTCCTTAACTCCAGAAATTGCTATAATTGGCGGTTACATTAGTTTTTATCTGAGTCCACTGTCTGCACTCTCTGCAGCCTATTTTTAGATTTTACACTCATTAATCATCAGAAGTGCCTTGCTTCCATGGGGGACAAACTCTCACAGTCTCACGTGTGTGCTTTGCATATAGGCTCTAGGGCCCCTATTGCCTCAGTGCACCCTTGAGCCTTTTCAAACACAGTTCAGGCCTTCAAGGTATGCATACGATTCGATTAAGAAGTGAGCCCACATTAACGATGTTGGTTATTCAGTTCGAAGTCTATGGAATGATTGTAACTTTTAAACCACACACCTTCGAGCTTCAAGAACATTTTTCCTTGGTTGAGAGTTAGGCTTCCAAAAGGTCAATGGGCTGGTGAAAGAGTAACAAATATAGGTACCACAATCATCAAAAAACCAATACTCCATATCACATTCCTCCAACTCCACGTGATGGGTATGAAGTGTAAATGGCAGATAGTATACAGACTTGCGAGTGTAGTAACATATCATATCCCTTGCATCTTGTTGTGGATAGTTTTTCAACCTACAATTTGCTTGTATAAATCCTTCTAAAGAATCAGTCTATCCACAACAAAGAGAAAGCAACAGGGGGAAGGTATATGCACTTGTATACTTTTGCAAATAATTTGACATGGTGGAGAACAAATAATCGTCTTGTAAAACAAGCCAAGGTCACATGATATGCAAGAGTCACAATTCAAGATAGTAAAAGCAAATTCTAATATTTATAAGTTTAAAACCATTTCTCCAATGAAAGGAGACCCCAAATTGGTTGTATCAACAATAAGAGAGAGAATAACATGCAAAAAGGAAATACCCAAAAGATCATGAAGCATACAAGAATAACAATCAAAGTTACCTCTTCAGGAGTCCATTGCCCCCTTGTTGATCGCCTTGTAGGCCCACTGGTCCTCCTAGAACACAAGAGAAGTTATTCCAGCTTAGCTTATGCAGTAGATGATGGAAAATAACAGTAATTAAAAAACTACGTCCCTTAACACAGACCACAAAGAGTATGAATACTAGAGAAAAAATACCCATGCATAGGTCTGACTTGAGAAAAGGCATTGTTGGCCCCATTCAAAGAGCCAGGAGGAGCCGATGGGGGCGGAGGCGGAAGTGATGCAGCTATTTTCCTGTCACTTTCCATGGTTATCTAAAAAACAGGCAAAACTGCATACCCCAATTCCAACTCGATGTCGATTCTCTCCACGGAATGTTCCCCAAGGCATTATCAGTCTTCCTAGACAATGGTTGGAGCTTCTTTTAGACAGAACAGCCCGAAAGGCTAGAAGACGAAAACAAGACAATCAATTAGTGAAAATGTCATCATAGCAGTAGCAAACAGCCTGATAAAAGAACTAAAAGCTTGGTTTTACCAATACATAAATATAATCAGAAACAAAGCAAGTTCTCTCACCATGTTTACAACCTTAGTCACTCAGAGGGCCGCAATTTGTTCATGCAGACCCAAATAACTAAACTTCGCACGAAATTGAAATTAAATGCCAACTTATCCAAATTATGCTCCCAGAAAAGCCAAAACCTATAATCAAGTACTTCCTCCGTTCCCTAAAACTTGTCAAATATCAAAAACAACAAACAAAATCAACAAAACATCATCGATTAATTATGACAATGCAATTCACTCCACCCAATCATCATATGAAATCACAACAGGAGCATGACCAATTATAATTTTGGTACCAAAAAAATTGAAAATTAACATAATTTCACAGTCCACTCAAAAAGTAAACTTCAGATATAATTTGAGGGCATCAACAAAACTAACATCAGGTGTAACTAAGTATATCTTAACCTCCCCAAACAATAGCCTCAATGATGAGACTAAATTAGGGTTATCTTCTGCAAAATGAGGATATACCTTCATCACAAAATCATTCCAAAACCCAGAAAAATCTTCATTCAATCAAAAACCCCCCAAACAAACAAAAACCCTAATCCCCAAAAACCCATCAAATCACAAAGATCTCAAAAACCCAATTCAAATTTTCACACCACCAAACATTCACATCCCACAAAAAGTCAAACACCCAAAAAAACCCAACTTCACATTCCAGAAAAAACCCACAAAAAATCACAAAAAACGAAAATTTAAAGCAAGACAAAAAGAGATAGATTACCAAAGTTAACTTCAGCTTGAAATGGGTGATCGAGAAAACGATGAAGCGATCAATGGAAGTAGCATTTGAAGAATAGGAGAGAGAAAGATCTGGAAATGAGCATGTGATTTAGTAGAAATAGGGATAATTTTTTTGAATGAGAGAAACGTTGTAAATTTTGATGAATGATGTTGTTTTTCAGAGGAGAGAGAAAGTGGAAATACCAAACGGTCTGAAATTGTAAATGAGCAAAATTCAAATTGGGAGGGGCGGACTATACATCAAATACTCAATTTTGACAATTTTTTTGAAATCTAACCCTATCAACTATGGTTGGATCTATTCAATGACTTCGCTTTTTTAAGGGGTTTCTTCTCACTTTTGCTTGGTTTATTTAAAAGCGTAATTTTGAAAATCCGAGTAATAATGTGTTGGTTGTTTTAAAGGTAAGATTTTAAAATTCGAGTAATAATGTATAAGTAGTTGTAAATGAAAAGTGTGTGAACAATATTTGAAATTTGACGTTGAATATTATACCGTTAAGGAGTTTGTTCTATTCAACAAATACAATTTAAGAAAAATAATGGATTTCAAGTTTAGAAGTAAGAAATTCAATAAGTTAAAGTTAACTTTTTTTGTAAAATAAATTAAAATGAGTTTAGTATGAGAAAAAAAATCAAAAAAGATAAATTTAAAAAGGTAAATTTTGATAAATGAAGATTATGTGAAATGAACATAGTCCAAAACTTTTCAATTAAGTTAATTCAAATCCACAAAATCTGAGCAATTATTATTTTTTTTAATAATTGTTGTTGGTGAGGGTTATTATTGATTATGGTTGTTTTGACTTTGGTACATTCGTTTCTATTTCTTACAATATTATGTGTGTGTCTGTTTTCTTTAGAGTGTGTGTGCAAACTTTGAGTTAAAATGAAATCAAAAGTAGAAATATTTAGCATTAAATTAAAATTAAAATTATTAACAATTTAGCAAATTTATTAAATGTCCATATATTGATGAGCAATTTTGTCATTAAATTAAAATTATTAACAATCTAGTAAATTTATTAAATGTTCATATTGTGTGTTATTTTCAAGGCTATGCTTAGTGGAACATTTTTTTTTCCCTTTGATCATTTAAATGATTGTCATAATTGCTTCTGTTTTTTTCTCTCAAAGTTAGAGATGTTAGTGGGATAGATCAAATTAAATACATGCCTCATAATAGGTCTCGATTTGACAGGTGGTGGGGCTAGGATAGGAATGAAGCTCATGCACACCATGGGTGATTAGGCAAGGGTGGATCTTATATTGTAAGACTTGTAACCACCTCAAATCCACCTTGCCTCACCTCACTTTAAAATGACTACTTCGTATGATGTTACATCAAAGTTCAAAACCATCCCAAACCTACTTTAAAATAAGTAAAATTAAGTTTAATATTGAGTTTTATAGAACAATAAAATTGACGAGGATTACGCATGTAGTTGGGCGGGGAAGCTGAGAATTAGATGGGGGTGAATACCCAAATAGGTGGATGGGACAGAGATGATTATAAATTTGTACCCGTTGGTTGCTGGGTAGGGCCGAGGAGGGATTTTGAACTCATTATGTGGACTTGTGAGGATGAAAAGATTAGGTAGGGATACCAAAGGGAAGGTCAAGATCCGCCTAGCCCTGCCCCACCCCACTAACATCTCTACTTGGAGTATAGTAACTATAGTTTAATGCAATTTATTAAATAGCTCATGTTGGTCTGCCTTCAAATAATCCCTTTTTGCTAGTCGTATTTGAAATCTTTATGAATTTTAACATATATGGAGTACAATAATTTCTAAATAAATGTATACAAAAATTAAATAGGGTAGCTTTAGCCAGCTTAAATAAAGTTCTTCATGAAGTGAATATTAACAATTTTGGGGATGTATTTTCTGTTCAAATTGACTAAAGACAAGTGTTTACTGTTTAGTCAATTTGAACTATTACGTGATCAAACGAGTGTTAAATATGCTCCGTGCTTACACCCTTACACCCACCTAGAGACTAGAGAGAGACCAGTTAGAGAGGAAAACAAAAGAAAAGAGATGGAAGGACAAACTCTTAAACAAGAATTATAAAAAAAATTTAAGTTCACTAAAAGTTGTCACTTCAAAAACAACAGATGAAAGCTAATCCGTATAGGCCTTTAGTCGAGTTCAAATTCTGATACAAAATTGTGATCACAACTGCCTAACATTGTTCATAACCTCTAGGGATTATAGTATCAAAATCTTATGTCGAGACTTTTTGAGCTTTGTTGAAACGACCAGCAGGTGAATCTCTGTCTCGAGGTCGCCCATGCCTTCCGCCTCTGTTGAATTTTCCTCCCCTGAGCACCAAACAGCAGTTTCAGTCATATCACTGCAACATCTTTATAATGTTTTTACAACCAAAAAAATGGAATTATAAACAAACCTTCCTCTGTGTCCGCCCCTATTATCCCGAAATTTCCCTTGACTTCCTTGAATTTGGCTCCAATATTCCTTCTCTTGATCACCTGCAAGCAAGCCAAAGATTTTGCAAGTTAAGATAATAAACCCACACAATTAAGAATTTTCCATGATTTCAACAAAAAGCAAAAGCCTTTATTACCACTATCTTCTTCCCATGTACACTTCTCCACCAAACATTTAAGTGGAGGTGTGATTGGAAATTTAAAACAAAACTTAGTTCTCTTTCGACTCCCAAATTTGTACACGTGACCATTATATTTGACATAGAGAGTATTTTATTTGAAGTATATGCTAATTGATTTATTTATCAGGCTACAAATAACAAACAATTGAAACATTTTCAAACTGAATGAGAATTGTTTGCTACATACCAGTCACAGGTTCTAGAGCAGCGATAAAATTTTTAACAACTAAACCACCATCCTCTGTGAGCACTGCAGCAGCACGAGCTTTTTGGGATGCCTCTGGTTCCTCAAATCTAATGTATCCTGAACTTTCTCCCATCTTGAAGTCTATGTACTTCGCACCCAAAAAAGTGAGACATGAACAAAAAATATTAGTTTTAGAGATTTGCTGACTATTAACAAATATGTAATTAAAAAACTGACAAGTCACTATGACAAATATGTAATTCAAAAACTGAAAAGTCACAATACATTGTCAAGTAACCATATGTTTTGTACGCTTCAAATCTAAATGGTCAACTGGTCATACTCATTTACTCAGAAAGCCATGTGTGCTTGGCATGATACTTTGAACAGAGTACCATAAAAGCTGTAAGTACTCATGATATATTCCTGGTAATTGGCAAAAGCTACGAGAAGCAAAATGGGAAACTAAGGGAATTTGCCTAGAAACACTATAGAAACAGTGTAGAGTAATTAAGGATCTGACGTGTACAATTTAAATCATGCCACAGTTCAGATGCAGAAGTAGTACCTTGACAGTGCCAAATTTCTGGAATAAAGCTTTCAGATCTTCACGAATAACCACATCCATATTATCCTTGTAGGATTCAACAGCATTTCTGCCTTCTGGTGCTGCTTTTTCAACATCCTTTTTGTCAGCACTATTAGAAGATTTCTCTTCACTCTCAGTTTCCTTCTCTTCCTCGTCAGGAGTACCTTCAGCTGTTGCTTCTTCCTTAGCTTCATCAGCATCTTCAACGGTACCATTTTTATCACTTTCTGCTGCCTTGTCTGCCTCTTCAGATCCAATTGTCACAGATTCTCCTCCATTTCTCTTAGAAACCTCAGCCTCACTAGCATGCTCAGTTGAACCATTTTGCTTGGATTCGTCTCCTGATGACTTGCTCTTTAGCGTGAATGCAACAATTAGGCCTTTAGGATAGCTGCAACCATAGTGATGAAGACATCAATATTTTTTGATAGAAATGAGTATTGCAAGAATAACTATTTTTCTGACTTTATTTGCCCCTTTAGAAGATCACAATCAGATACGTACTTGGCTTCTTCAGAACTTTTAGACTTTCCCTGACCACGACCTGACTTTTCATATGCCTCTTCTAGCTTTTCTCTTTCAGCATCGAAGTCTTTCCTATTTACACAAAACACAAAGTATATTAAACCTACATTACCAACTGAAGCTAACCAACATCCACAAGATTGGTTCGTGTGGAAAGTGACACTATAGCCTCCCAAAAAAAAAAAAAAAAAAAAACGCTTTGCGAAATTCAGATAACAAGAGTTGGCCTTTTTTTTTTTGGTGATTCTTTAAGAAACTGCTTCATCTGAAACTTTTGTCACTTGGACTCACTTCTACAGTTCTAGAAGTAATTTATAAAGAATTTTGACAAATTATACGAAGTATTTACTTTGGCTTGAGCTCCAGATCAGCACCAGCATATGTTAAATTTTGTGCCAAAATCTTCTCTGCATCTTCCTCTGTAGAATACTCAACCAAAGCAGTCCCGCAAAACAAGTTTTTGTGTGAAACAAGACGGGGAAGCCTGATACTGTTAACCTGTAAGAAGTAAATATACAAACCTGTATTAAAGGTACTACAGATTCAATCAAAACAGCCTCCAATGAATCAAATTGACATATTTTGCTTCCTAGTAGCTTCAGTCAAGAGGCCTAATGGCAGCAAAGCTTAAAAAATGATGCTCCATTTGAGTGTATGAAGCTGACTTTGTAAGTAGCACTCTATAATTTGCTCACTGAATACCATCATGGCATCATCAGAGCACTAAAAATTTCTCAAATAAAATTGATCATTGTAAATTCAATTCATCACATGTCCTGCTTGAGTGAAATCAAAAATTGGACATAACTCCCTCAGGAAATATCTAAGCAAGTATTCTTGTGCTACTTGGATTTTTTTTTACGTATGTGATTCAGGCTTTGGGAGCACCTTAAATACAGTGCAATACATCCCTAATAGGTTATAGCTAAATAAACTGCAAAACTGACTCCCCTCTACCTAATTCATGGTCAAGTGACAGAGAGAAATCAAACATAATGGACAAAATGGGGAAAAAAAAAATAGAAGGCTAAACCCTTGAGTATTTTAGATTTTTAGTTCTCCGTTCATGACTAACAACTCAAGTTACAGCAATTGCACCAAGCTAAAAAAAAAAGAATTTAGACGCAAAAGAAGCAGCTTAGATTACCTTTGCGAATTGAGAAAAGAAGGATTCTACATCTTCTAGCTTCACATCATATGGTAGTGGTGCTGCAGCTATTGTCCTGCTATCAACCTGTTCTATCACCTCTTCTGGTTTGCTAAGTTCAGATCTCCTGCCAACCTTCTTCCCTGGAATATATTCATCATTTTGTTAGGAAGAGGAAATAAAATACCAAGCCCCCAACAAACAAATCAACCAAACATCAGAATGTATCTCCAAGTCTAAAATGGTTTCAGCATTTCATTACACGAAGAGCCCGAAAAACTCTGAGTTAATTCGACAACTAATTCCAAGTAACACTACTTATTCTGCAAGCGCCAAGATACACACAAATGTATGAACAAACCAACCAAACATCTGAATGTATCTCCAAAGTCTAAAATGGTTTCAGCATTTTACATATTACATGAAGAACACGAAAAACTCCTGAGTTAATTCGACAACTAAATCCAAGTAAAACTACGTATTTCGCAAGCGCCAAGATACACACAAATGTATGAATTACCAGCATGATCATAATTCACACATCAAGCACACCAAAATCAACATTTGAAAAATCTAAATACTAAACAACATATCATAATTCATTTGGTTACAATGTGAACCATTTAAAACTCTAATCAAAATCTCTCCATCAATTTATATATTCATCCAAATGATTATAAAAGCAATATAAAACGTAGAGTAAAGCGAAAATCACGAACCATCCTCCGAAATTTTGAGAAAATCAGAAGTCCTCAAAGTATCAGCAACAGCCTTAACAGTATCTTCAGAAACATCATCAGCTTTAACATCTCCTATACCCAGATGACCTCTCATCCTCGAAAACGAACAAATTAAAGCCAAACTCACCACTAAAAATTCCAAATTTTTTAAGTTAAGTTAAACAAAATAAGAACCCATAAAAATTTAATCTTTATATAAAAACCCCATTTCAGGGAGCAAAAAAAAAAATTGAAAAAAAGGATACATCCATCTTCACTTTCTTCGATTGTCTTCCTCAAGAAATTGTCTCGGGGAAGATTACTGTCACTGAAATAAAACTCAACCTGCAGAAAATCAAATAAAATCAAATTAATTTGAATTGAATTGAATTAAATAAACCAATTAAAAAGATGCAATTTTTAAAATTTGTATAAATTTTAGACCTGGCGTATGACTTTTTTGGAGGTTTCTTCATCTAAAACGTTAGTCGTCGACATTTTTTTCGCGATTGAAAGAACCTGAGAATGAGAGTGAGAAACAAGGGTTTGGGGGAGAAGAAGGGTGGTTAGGGTTTTGGGAGTGAAGAATGAGTTGGGGTTTAGAGAGTAGTAATGCCGGTTTTTTAGAGTTTAAGGCCTTTGAGCTAGATTTTTGCAGGATATTACTAATTTACCTATTTTTTTAAGCGGTTAGGCCGGTTACATGTTTTTAACATTTTACTTAGTAAAATTAAACAGACTAAAAACTCTCACAGTTTAAACCTTGTTAGCGTGTAAGGTTCTTTAGAAGTGGATGAAAGAATAAGACCGTAAGAGAATTTTCAGGACGTTTTTTCCATTCTAAGCTTCGTTGGCAAAGTATTTACCAAAGTAGATGCGTGGTAAAAGTATTTACCAAAATAAGCCTTCAGGGTAAAACGCTGCCTTTCACCTCCTATTTTTTTAAAAAAAATATTCTGCTTAAAAGACGCTGCCTGGGGCAGCGTTTTTTAAGTTTGACTTTTTTTTTTTTTCCGTATACTTTTAAAAAAAATTTAAAAAAAAAAAAAAGAAAAACAGCATAAAACGCTGCCCGGGGCAGCGTTTTATGTACAAATTATTTTTGAAGTTGGAAAAAAATGTAAGTGTACATAAACGCTACCTGGGGCAGCGTTTTATGTACATTTTTTTTGTACATAAAACGCTTCCGCGGGCAGCGTTTTATGTACACGAGGCAGCGTTTTATGTACAATAAAAAAAAAAAAAAAAAAAAAAAAAAAAAATTAATAAACGCTGCCAGAGGCAGCGTTTATAGTGCTTTTGTTTTTTTTAATAAATCAGAAATTACATAATAAAAAAAAAGTCAAACTAAAGAAACGCTGCCCCAGGCAGCGTTTTTTAAGCAGAATTTTTTTTTTTAAAAAAAATAGGGGGTAAAACGCTGCCCGATTTACCTTGGAAGCTTATTTTGGTAAATACTTTTGCCACGCAACCAATTTGGTTAATATTTTCCAAACGAAGCTTAGTTTTGTAAAACGTCCGAATTTTCACCCCAAGTTGCCCTTAATGAAGGTGAGATACAATCGTAATCCTTATTTTATTTTTTTATTTTTTTCTTTTTGTTTTTTGTTCCATCCGGTAATCTTAAAGAGTGTCGAGCTTCTCAATGATATAAAAACAAGTTCACAATAAATGCTTTCAATGAGATTTGAGATGATTAAGTTTTATATAACTTGTATACAATGACTAATTTTGTTTTGTGAATAGTTAGTCAACTTTGCAAATTAGCGGACAATTAAATTATTGTTGCGAATGATTTAGAATAAAATATTCAAAATTTACAACCATAATTACAAAGAAAATTTGACTCACAAAATCTCAACTATCACCACCTCTCATAATATATTTTCACGATAACTACTTTGCTAATGGTGTAAATCGATGAAAAACTTTGTTGCTACTTGTTGTAGGTGTTGCTATTGGTAGGTATAGAACTATAGAAGAGACAGGGAGAGAGAAGAAGCATCACAAACATGAGAGGAGAGGAATCGTGATGGTTGTCGAAATTTGTTTTCTTAATGCAAATAGTATTATTTTCTTGTTAATACAAACATACAAGGCAAAAATTTGTAACTGCAAAGGCTTAAACAGATTAAATTGATACTTTCAACGATGATAATATGAATACACGATGTTTTGGGTAAAAATACCTAGGACACGTGGTCCAATCAAAGGGTGACACGTGTCACTTTAGGAGAGGTTCTACATGAACCAATCCTTAGCTGACACGTGGCACTCCCAATCAATGGGGAAAAAGACACCCTTCAGAGCCCAATACCCGAGAAAAGCCGCAAAACGACGCAGCCTCCAAATCTAGGTCAGAATGACCTAGATAGGGGCACACTTACCAATGACCCTATAAATAGGGAGATTCACCCCACTTTAGGGACATATATTCATTAATTACAATACAAACAATTCTCTCACATCAGAGAAATCCCCTAATCTCGGAATTCGAGAAGATCTCACTTTAATTTCCGCACCATTTTACTTTCTCCGTACACGTTCTAACTTGCTCGTCGGAGGCGAAACTCCACCCAACCGGAGTCTCCGTTGTTTTGCAGGTACAGACGCTCGGAATCCAGTCTTGGTGACGTAACTCTCCCGAGGGACAAAAACCCCGAAACATTTGGCGCCGTCTGTGGGGAGAGTACCTCTAAGATGGCTTCACAACAGTCTATACCGCCTCCTGATGAGAAACGGCCTACGGCCGAAGCCAGGGTCCATTCGGACCATGATATTGATGACTTTGAAGTCGAAACGTATGTGGCCACAGACGGGTCACTCAGAACCAAACGCATCCGTCCCAAAGATACAAGGGAATGGGGCAATGATCAACCGGGTCTAGGCAGGTCATCCGACCAGCCATCCGACCAGCCCCTGGCGGCAGAGGAGACTGCCCCTGTTACCCGAGATGAGCTGATGAAACTCATGGCGAGTTTTAAGGGAGAAATCAAGGATTTGATCACCAAGGGGACGGCTGGTCCAAGTAAGGGTCAGTCGGCCAAGAAGCGCTCTCACTCTGAGAAGAACAAGCCAGTTAGGGACCGAGAGTCCACTCCGCATCCTAAACCAAAGGAGGGGAAGCGGCCCTTAATTGATCTTTCCAAGATCCGACTCCATGAGATTGGGAATAGGAAGGTCATACGACATGTCCAGCCGGATGGCTCAAAGAAGACATACTCTGATGCCCGGTTGCTAATCGAGCAGAAGAGAAACCAGCAACTGTCTGAGTCAGCTTCAACATTGAGTTACCCAGACAGCTTCCAGAATAGCTCAATGAGATATTCTCAATTATCTGTACGAGAGAGTCGGTCAGGCAGCCCGTCCGTCTACACTGGCCCTCAGATGATCCATTCGGCCCTGTATGTGCCAAAGCAATCATACATGCCGTATGGACAACCTTACATGCAATCGACCCCCTTTGGGGTCAGGCGACACAAAACGTCCAACCTTTGGATTAGCAGCTCCGTCTACTAAAACTTGGGGAACAACCTTCTACGTTCTCCAAGGAAATAACCGAGGCGGCACAGCCGACCAAGGTTAAGAATGTCATGGTGGGTACTTATGATGGTACCACCAACCCTGAAGACCACCTCATAGCCTACACCAACCTCATGTACTTGCAGGGGTTGAATGACGCCACCTGGTGCCGATGCTTCCCGGCTACATTAAAGGGCACCACCCAACAATGGTTCAACAACTTGTCAGCCGGCTGCATCAATAATAGCTTCAAGACGCTTGCGTACTTGTTTGCTTCTAACTTCTCTATGAATATCCCTGCCAAGAAATCAAGTCTTGACTTGGGTGCAGTGCAACAGAGGGATAGAGAAGGGTTGCGGTCATACGTCAGGCGGTTCAATCTGGTGAGAATCCAGATTCAAGGGTTGCTTGATGATATGGCTTATACATACTTCTTCAAGGGTCTGAAGGACGGGTCGACTTTTAAGTTGACCTCGTCAGAAAGAGGGTTGCCACCCTCCAGGAAGCGCTGATGGAGGCGGAAGCCTATATACAGGCGACCGAGCTCTGCTCCATCAGCAAGCAGTCGGACTCCAAGAATTCTGACAAAAAAGAGAGTCAACAACTTCAGCCAGCTAAGAAAGCTAAAGAGAGTAAGAAGATAAAAGAGATCTGGGCGGTTAACGATTCCGATCAGCCATCCCAGCAGAAAAAGAAAGAGTTTAAAACGTACGTCCCAAAGTACGAGTTTAACAAAGACTGCTACTCCATCCTCATGCAGATAAAGGAACGGGTGACCATAGAGAAGCCCGCTGCTATGAAAGGTTTCGCCAAAAATCAGAACAAAAACAAGTACTACCATTTCCATGAGGATATTGGCCACGACACTAACGACTGCTATAGTCTCAAGCGGCTATTGGACCGTCTGGCTGATAAGGGGGTGTTAAAGTCTTACATCCTGAAGTCTAAGGTGACCCTGAAGACAAACTCCGGGCAGTTGTCCAAAAAGGATGCCCAACCTGCTAGTAGTTCGGACACTGACAAAGAGTCAATCTACACAATAGCAGGCGGCTTTGCTGGACGGGGCCCAACCATCAGGGGCACCAAGGACCATGACTGACGGCTGTATGTCAGTTCAATTGATGAGGGTCAGGCGTCTACTGACACCTTCCTTGAGGTCATCATCACTGAAAAGGACAGGGGCAAGGTCCGCCGACCGCATGATGACCCCATTGTTATTGAGTGCAAAGTGGCCAACCAGAAGGTTGGCCGGATCCTCATTGACACTGGAGGTCTGACATCATCAGCTACAAGTGCTTGGCAAAGCTGAAGTACAAGCCCGGCAGCATGCACAAGGTGTCTCACCCCTTGGTTGGCTTTGGGGTTGGGGTTGTGCACCCAGTCGGACATTGACTTACCCATCCGGCTGGGGGAGAAAGGAGAGGGACGCCACATGGTTGTCTGGTTCTTGGCCGTGGAAGAGCTGACCGCCATAAATCTGATATTGGGTCGTCCGACTCTGAACGAATCCAAGGCCATCATTATTCAATCTCTCATGCTGTTGAAATTTTAGAAGGATGATGGGTTTGTTGGCTCCCTGAATGGGGACCAGAAGACGTCAAGAGAGTGCTATCTCAGACGTCAAGCCCATAGTGGTCGCAACCGGCCGGGGTGAGGAGCCAATAGACCTTGGCGATGTCAAGGAAGCCGAGCCTACTCCAACTGCAGCCGGCAAGAAGAGAAAGGGCGACCAGCTGGTGGCCGTGGAAAAAGAGAAGCAATAGTAATCACTGACTGGGGAACGGTCAGATGAACTCCGTACCCAGTCGGCTAGTGAACATGTTGATATTTCTCTGGACGACAGCCGTCCGGAGCGTACTATTAAGGTTGGGGCGGTTGCTCTTGCCAAGCTGGGTGCACACTTGCACAATTTGTTGAAGGAATTCAAAGACATCTTTGGCTTTGAAGTGGAAGAGATACCAGGTATCAGCCCGGATCTATCTATCCACAAGCTCTCCATGGATCCCAAAAAGAAGCCGGTTAGGCAAAATAAAAGAAACCACGACGAGGAAAGAAGTCAGGCGGTAGCCGCCGAAGTGAAAAAGCTGTTAGACGCCGGGTTCATTCGGCAATGTCACTTCCGTGATTAGGTTGCGAATGTTGTGCTTGTAAAGATGT